ACTAACCAGTGTTTTTGACTTTCCAAGTTATCACAATCAAATATACAATTATGGTGATGATTCTCCCATTATCATACAAGACCATGTTATTATTTCCTTCAAATATGGTACTTAAAAAAACTATTGTCAGGGCCAGCATTGTAGGGTAAGTGGGCTACACAGAGGCTTGAGACACTGCTATACCCTATGGTGCCAATCCAAGTCCCAAGCTGTTCTACTTATAATCCAGCTCCCTGCTAATGCCTCATCGAAAGCAGTAAAAGATGGCTCAAGCACTTGGGCCCCTACATCCACATGAGAGTCCGGCTCCTAGCTTTGGCCCAGACCTGGACATTGCACTCATTTGGGGAGTGAACCAGCAGAGGATAGACGATTTCTTTCTGCAATTCTTTCAAATAAATCAACAGTCTTAAAAGAAAAAAAGGTCAACTTTTTGGGCCTGTCATAGTACCCTAGTGGCTGAAGTCCTCACCTTGCATGTGCCAGGATCCCATATGGGTGCCAGTTCGTGTCCCAGTGGCTCCCTTCCCATCCAGCTCCCTCGTTATGGCCAGGGAAAACAGTAGAGGGCGGCCCAAAGCCTTGGGATGCTGTACCTGCGTGGGAAACCTAGAAGAAGCTCCTGGCTTAAGATCAGCTTAGCTCTGGCCATTGTGGCCACTTGGGGAGTAAATCAGCAGATGGCAGATCTTTCTGTCTCTCCTGCTCTGTAAATTTGACTTCCCAGCATAAATAAATAAACCTTAGAAAAAATAAATAAAAATGTTTTCAAAGGGTCAATTTTTAAACCCCTGTAAGGATAGAGAATACCTTTCAAAATAAACTCCATGATAGCATGATCTTGCTACTGTTTCTCCCTGACACCTAACCAAGTAACTGGAACATACTCAAACGTGTTGAATGCATGAGAATTAACACCACTGAGAAAATTAATCATTTTAATGAGGAAAACAAAAAATAGGAGAAAGCAATGGTTCTGAAATTCTCCACAAAGGGCCTGGCGCTGTGGCCTAGTGGCTAAAGTCCTTGCACACGCTAGGATTCCATATGGGTGCCGGTTCTAGTCCCAGCAACCCCCCTTCCCATCCAGCTTCCTGTCTGCGGCCTGGGAAAGCAGTTGAAGACAGCTCAAAGCCTTGGGACCAAAAAGTTCCCGGCTCCTGGCAGCATACTGGCTCAGCCCCAATTGTTGGGGAGTGGCCGCTTGGGGAGTGAATCATTGGATGGATGATCTTCCTCTCTCTCTCCTCCTCTCTGTATATGTGACTTTCTAACAAAAATAAATCTTTAAAAAAATTCTTTACACAATCCCACTTTTTTTTAATCCACTTCTGTATATTTCAAAAATAAAGACGACTGGATCAATGCACCAAACTCTTCCTTCATATGGCAATTACAAGTTTCTTACCGGTCAGAGAAAGAGCAACGTTGTGGTAACATGTCATTGGCCACAGCTGGACAACAAAAATGGCACTATCACAGCCAAGAAACTGTACATTTAAATTCTGTCCAATTACATCTTTAGAGGGACTTTATCAAATTTTCACTTCAATCTCTAACTGTAAGGTTTACTGCTCGGGTTTCACATGATTTTAATTCGGCTATAACAACAGAAGTTTGGATGTTGCAACTTTGCTTCTGTGCTATTAAAAACGTCTCCATTCTGACTGCCTGAATCTAAGAGTTTTAAATATATTAAGAGTTTCCTTTTGAACACTGTGAGATATTTAGTGTCTATGATAAAAATATGGGATACTTGCACTCAGTTTCCACAACCTCATCCTTCGTAGACATGAATGTCTCACACAAACAGCAGAGGGGTGCCCTGAAAATTATCCTTGTAATTCTTTGAGCACACATTTTACCTTTTAGGGAAAGTTGTGAATGAGAGAGGCAAAGGAGAAACGGCTGAGCCTGCTCTACTTATGTATGGTCACTCCATCTCCAGGAAGGACTCAGGTGAGATCAGGATGTCAAAGCAACAGTGTGTGGGCAGGCCAGCCTCTCTCTAACAACACAGCCAGTACTCACTGACAGATGGTTTCTCCTCAACCAATGGAGACTTTCAATTTAGAGATATAAAACCACTTTACAACTGTCAAACAACTTATTAAAATCCTATTTTTGAAAAGTACCTTGAAAGATAAAATCTCCAGCAACTGTGCCCAACTTTTCAAAGGGAACATGAACATTCTCTCAACAGGAACCAAGACTGCAGACCCAGGCTGTTTTAAAAGGAAATTACAAAGCAGGAGCAGGAAGACAGAGCACCGAGGCCCACCAACTGAGATTTTTTTTCAGGGCAAGCTTCTAAGGTTCTGTTTGAAATTCTAGTCATTCCAGATGAACCTTCCCTATCTTCTCCTCACGGACCCAAGAAACTGTCTAGTTGAGAAAACTCTGTAAACATACCAAGAGGCTTCTGATATAGCAACAACAATATTTAAATATTCCATCACTACTCCAATAACTAAAGAACTCATGGAAAGCCAGATCATTTTCACTGTAAGTTAACTGTATGATACTGGCTTAAGTTTAAGACAGGTTTTAGTGTCATTCCTTGCAAACACACTTTATCTGCATTAAAATTTTTTCCAAAAAATTTTTCACACTTAGGTTTCACAGCATTTTTTAATTAACAGACTTTATTAATTCAGAGAAGAAACATGAAAGAAAGTTAAACTACAGAAAACAGGTCTGATACTTAAAGTAGGTCAAATTAAGAAAGGTGAGGAAGAAATCAAAGAAAACCAGATGTCAAATAAGTGAAATTTAGGAAGATAGAAAACAGGGCTATTTTCCTGCTACCATGTAGCTCCTGAACCAACACTGCACACTGTCATAACAGGGAGAGACGTGAGAATTTCACAGGTATCCCGAGTCATCTTTCACGCTGGGTGAGTCTAAGCTGTGTGTCAGTCCACTCTGAACTGGCCTCCAAGGGAGAGTCCTACTAGCATCAGAAAAGCAATGCATAACAATGAAATATGGTACATTAGTCTTTGTTTAAAAGGCTAGTCCCCAGCTGGGGAAGAACCAGTGGATGGGCAGTCTGTCTCTTTCCCTTTCTCTAACTCCAAATAATCTTTTTTTTTTTTAATGGTCTAGTTTAACCAGTCTTTTCCCATCATGAAAACTGATTTGTAATGAACTAAAAAGTAAACTGAGTCAACAAAAGTTCGTTATTTATAGACAATTTGAGTTCATAGAGTTTTGTATAATTTCCATCACATTTTCTTTCTAGGGGATCAACATTGTGGCACACTGGTTAAACCACCACATGCAATGTCAGCATCTCATATCAGAGTAAAGTTCAAATTTCAATTCTTCCATTTCTGATCCAGTTCCCATGAAGGCAGTGAAGAGGGCCAAAGTGCTTTGGACCCTACCACCCAAGTGGGAGATCCAATTGTTGATGCCATCTGGGGAATGAACCAAAAGATCAAAGATCTCTTGTCTTTCCCTCTCTAACGCTACCATTTTAACTAATTAATTAATTAGTTAGTTAGTTAATTAATCTTTAAATTAAAAAAATTTTTGGGTCCATATCATGGCTCAGCAGGTTAAGCCGCCTTCTGCAAAGTGAGCATCCTATGTGAGCACAGACTCAAGTCTTCGCTGCTCCACTCCAGACCAGATCCCTATTAATGTGCCTGGGGAAACAGAGGACGATCGCCCAAGTATCCCAACCCCTGCCACCACCCACATTCAAGATACTAGATGGAGCTCAAGGCTCTTGGATTCGACCTCACCCAGCCTTAACCCGTGCAGCCATTTGGGGACCGAACCAGTAAAAGGAAAGTCTCTTTGTTTGTCTCTCTCTGCAACTCCGATTTTTAAATAAATAAAATAAACTTTAAAAAAATAACTGGGACCAGTGTTGTGTTGTATTGGGTAAAAGCTGTCATCTGTGATGCAGGCATCCTATACTGGCACTAGTTTGTGTCCTAGATGCTCCAGTTCAGATTCAGCTTCTTGCTAAAGTGTATGGAAAAACACATGACCCAATACTTGGGCTCCTGCTATCCACATGGGAGACTAGAATGAAGCTCTTGGCTCAACCTTGGTTTCTGTAGCCCCTGGGGGCAAATCAACAGCCGGAAGCTAACTCGCTCGCTTGCTCTCTCTCTGTGTATTTGACTTTCAAATAAGTAAATTAATAAATCATTTAAATAATTCCTTGCCTGATAAGGTACCCACAAACACATTTTAGCTAGATTCCCTTTTTCCACCTTTCTAAACTTCTCTCAAAGTCCTCATTAACAAACAAATGAAAGCAACCTGAACCAGTCATTAGTTGGGATAAAGACTAAGCTCACTCAAATTTTTAAAGTCATTAGAAAAGAGCTTAACAAGCAAACACAGATACCAGATACCAGTTAGAGTTACCCAGTTTTCAAGAAACCACAATTAATTTATCTCTAGTTTATCTTAGAGGGAGTAGTACATCAAAATACTACTTAAAAAATTTCCCTCTTTCCCATTAGGAGAAAATCCCCACACTTTTACTTCATTTTTCAATGTAGTATTAACATCTCAGATAATTAACACCATGAAATTTCAGAGAAAATCATCCTTGTGATCACAAAGAATTGAGCTTTTGAAAGAACATATGCTCACAGATTTTTCCAACTACCTATTTCTATCCAAGGATTTACCACCTCTAGCCTGCTGGAAATGACTGCAAGAGTAACTAGAGCAGAATTAAAGTGACAGAGCAGAACTGTTCAGGTGGAGATGGACCTCACGAATACTGGCTTGTGTTTGAGTGTCATCAAGTCACAGGTGGCTTGGAAGCCTGAGACCTACATTCTTCCAATTTCAGAGCAGGGTTATTATCCTGATGTTTGGTTATCATGCCTGCAGAGAAAATCTGCACATCAAACCTAAGAAAAAGATCAGTTACATAATCACATGTGTCACCTAACCATTTCCTTATTTTTTTTTTAACTAGTAAGAAAAATAAAAGTGGGTAGGAAGAATTGCCAATATACACTTACCAGAATTCTGGATCCGCCAAGTTTTTACAAACTGAGTATCTGGAGGGATAGACTCTCCTTCTCCTATGGTGACATCTTCAACAAAGGACATGGAGGGCACACTGATATTTGGGCTCTCAAAGTCATAGTAGGCTCCAATTGCTGCTTGCAGGTTCCTACAAATGAGAAAAACAGGAAAACAGTTCAATGAAAATAGAAAAAGCCTGGGGCTGAGTATTGGGCACTGCTGGTTAAGAGGCAGTTGGAATATTCAGAGTACTCAAGTCCCAGTTCTGGCTCCCCCATTCCAGCTTCCTAGTAAGAGAGAACAGATCCTGGGAGGCAGCATCCTGCTACCTATATTGGAGACTTGGCTTCAGTCTAGCCCAGACCTAGCTGTGGACATCTGGGGGGTGAACCAGAAAAATGGCAGAGATCTCTCTGCCTCTGAAATAAAATAGATTTTTAAATTAAAATAAAATAAAATCTCTGCTTTTAGAGTTTGTTATAGAACCTGAGGCTACTGGAATGCAAGACTTCAAAGTTGCCGATTTTGGTCAGGGAACAAGAGGGAAAAGAGGAAGGATCAACAAACTTTGTATCCCTTTCTTCTCCAGTTATCCACAAAGAAATAAGCAATACCAGTAGTACCAACAGCAACATACAGGGTTCTGTTACCCATAGGATACTAATACTGAGTGAGAAAGTCAAGTGAGAAAAGCACTCTAACAACTACAACTAAGGAATTCAAAGAATCTCAATTCTAAAGCATTCTAATGGTTTAATTTCCCAAAACAGTGTGTACAAGGTTCCAAAGTTCCATACAATTAGAAGATCTTTCTGATGTTCGAATGACTTTCTGAAATACCCTTCCAGAACTTTCTTTAGCATACACAAATATATGATAGAGATGGGTATTCCAAACATTCATGGAAAATGTACACCATTAAAACCATGCATGGATTTCAAGATCTGTTGCACCAAAATAAATATATCTTTAGTTACATTTTCCAGAGAGCTTTTTGAAGTATTCGCTTATATTCAAATCCTTCTCCATTTTCACACCACTGGTAACATGTTATACATGGGTTGGGGTGGGCGGGGGGTGGGAACCAGACCGAGGGAAAGGGAGGCAGAGAGAAAACTGGTTCAATGCCCAGATGGTTGCAATAGCAGGGACTGGGACTAAGGCTGTGGTTAGGTTGCAGCCACAAGCATTGAACTTCCCTAGATCTCTCACATGGGTGGCAGGGATCCAAACACTTAGGTTACGTTCTGTTGCTTTCCAAGGCACATTAGTAAGGAACTGGATTAGAGTGGAGCAGCTGAGACAAGATACAGTGCCCATATGGAACTATCAGCATCATAGGCAATGGTTTGACCCACTGCACTATAACACTAGCCTTTTCCTCTTTTTTTTTAAACAACTATCAATAATTAGGTACATCATTCTTCAATCTTTTCAATTTGTTTCTAATATAACTGTTCCACTAGTAACTATATCCACAGTTTTGTATGGGTGCAAGTGTACCCATAGGACACATTTTTTTAAGATTTATTTATTTATTTATTTGAAAGGCAGAATTCACAGAAAAAGTGGAAAAGTCAGAGAGGGAGACAGACAGGGAGGGAGGGAGGGAGAGAAGGAGGGATGTGGGGAGCGGGGTGCTAAAGCTGCTCCTGGGATGGGGAAGGGCCATTGTAAGATGGCGGCTGGCCCAGGGTCAGGAGTCAGAGTTGGTCTCTCCAGCAGGTAAACAGGAAGTCACAGGGATAGGCTAATGCCCTTGCTGCGATTATGTCATTGCGATTATGTCATTGGCCTATTACGTAGTGCCAAGTGGATCCATGGGGAGAAGTGATTGGTGGAGAACGATATAAAAGTTGTAAAAAAAAACTGGGACGGACAGATAGACAGACAAGAATGAGAAGAATAGGGTGCCGGCAACTGGTGGCCCATATGGGGAACATTCAGGCCAAAGACAGATAAGAATAGAAGAATAGGGCACCAGCAGAGGGAGAGAGGGAAGCAAAGAGAGAAAGAGAGATCAATCTTCCATTTGCTGGTTCATTCCCCACACAGCTATAATTATTGGGACTGGGCCAATCCCAAGCCAGGAGACAGGAGTTCCCTCTGGGTCTACCAAGTGGGTGCCAGGGGCCTAAGTACTTAGGCTATTTTCTTCTGCTTTCCTGAGTGCGGGGAGCTGGTTCAAAAGTAGAGTAGCTGATACTTGAACCAACACCTTTATGGAATGCTGTTATCAAAGGCTGTAGCTTTACTTGCTATGCCACAACACCTGCCCCAGGAAAAATTTCTACAACTTATATTGCTGGGTAAAAGGGTCTAATGTTATGACTTTAACAGCTATATGCAAGTCTCTGTTAAAAGTTGTATACAATCACCCACAAAAATGTACAATATAACAGTTGTTACCAACAGTGTTTCTCCAACATTTCCAATATTTCAGTAAGGCTTCATAATGCTTTTCTCTTATTACAGCAGAGCCTGAGTATCCTTTTATATACTTAAGAGCTGCTTGTAGTTTGGTGTTTGGAGCACCATTGTGTAAGTGTAGCGTTCTTTTTAATTACTTACAAACCCCTTTTGTCAGAAGGAACTATATAGTAATCACATAAATCAGCATCCCCAACTGAACAGAATCACATGATTGACAGTTTGCTTTCTCAATGCCAGAAGCTAAAGGCTACTAAGGGTTAAGTAAGCCATGTTCATCACAAAAATCAAAGAGATTGCTGGTAATTACATTGTTTCTCTTCTAATCTTACTCTAACTAGTAACACCATTTTCAGTTCCCACAGTCTAATCTTACTCTAACTAGTGACATCATTTTCAGTTCCCACAGTGAACAAAACCACAAACTGCATCTTTCTAAACATCACCCAACCATAAGCCATTGCATCCAGTGGGCTGTTTTTAATTATGCATAAACACAGCATGGAACAAGCTCTGACAGTACACAACTATTCAGCAGATATGCTATTAGCAGAAAATAGCTTACTGCTGGGGCCTACCTGCTTCTCCAGGTGTTTGCAGCTGCTAGTAAGAAAGGCTATATTTAGAGCAATTACCTCAGGTCAAGCGTCATGCAGCCATGGCCTGTCATATTAGCCAGTAATGACTGGAATTACATTCAGCCACTACCAACTGCCTGCCTGTTGTATGTGTGGGTGTGATAAAATTTACATGGAGGCAAGCTGGGCCAAGGGCCAAACTCCACCTGTTTACACTTGGCCACTCAGTAGGAAGGCTTGGACTTTTGCCTTCCTAACAGTTTTCCTATCTAGCTATGATAAAATGGAAAGATATGTAATCAGTCAAATCTGGGACAGTGCTGCCTCTACCATCAACAGCAAATCTAAAACAGTCTGAAATCAGAAAACAGTCTGAAATCAGTCTTACACTTTGGGCTTGTGTATAAAATGAAAGAAAAATAAGCTTAGTTTGCAATTTGTTCTCTTCTTTAACTTATTTTGTACATCTTTGCAAAAAGATTTTTTTTTTTTTTTGCTGCAGGTGTCCAGAAAGTAGCCTGTTAAATTTTCTACTTTGCTGTAAAATACACTTGAGAGGGAAGAAACTATTTGTGCACTCCGGACAATTGCCAATTCTCATTCCCAGCCTGTGTCATATTTCACTCCTTGCCTCTGCTGCCAGCAGAACTTTGAGACCAATGTATCAGGAGCACTACCAAATGGAAAAGCGAAGCTATTTTACTTAGGCAAATTCATCCCCCTCCTCTAATCTCGTTAAGCAACTGTTCATCACACAACCAAAGCCAACAAATTACTTATTTTATCTGTATTATACAAGTAATCTGGGCAGAGGAAAAAACTAAGCAACATTTTTAAAGTCCAAACAGAAACTGAAAGTGGTAAACTGAAATCCTGGCAGAAGCCCTAGTGGAGAATGACAAAGCAAATTCACTTCCCAAGTACAGGACGGAAAGTGGACTTATGCCCAGGCAGGTACACAGCTCCTCTAAGGTTGGACCATTTATATTACTGCCCTTTGGGCAGACCAAGAGCAGAGATCAAACAACTCCAAATCACTGTTAGGAAAGGAGGTATGATAGCGTGTGCTCTCATTAAAAACAACATGCTCAGCTATTAATAGCCAACAAGAAATTCTACATGTAACAGAGTTGGCTGAGACACTTAGAAAGGAAAAGCACTGACCCAGTATTCAGTCCAGTCTGAAACTCTGAACTTACAGATCCCTCAATGCTTTTGTTCCAAAGCTTTTAAATCTGATTTCAGGTGGTTGAAAGCACCTTAAACAGAGGCAACAGTGAAAACAGCACAGCCTAAGATAGTTGTATCTTAACATCAGGGAAGTGTACACTTAAAAACGGTACACTCGACATGCCCAGTTTTACATTATGTACATATTATCACAATAAAAAGAAAAAGATGTGTCTTTGACAGCTCAGCTCTTACGTCAGTTTCACACATCTGTAAAACTGCATGGACACCCTTACTTCACTGTAAAACTGGTAGAGAAGACTACTGAGGCAATGTCCTAGCAGAAGGCATTCATTCAACAAATAATGAACATTTTCAGGGCTGAGGACTGTGCAGATAGCACAAGAGCAATAGTTCCTGCCTTCACAAAGCTGACAGTCTATCAGACTGCAGCTGATGAGGAACATTCAAGAAAGGGTAGCTCCCAGAGTCTTTCAGACAACGGTTATCAGCCCAGGGCAGCATTTCCTAAGGGGGTAGAAAAAGGACATGTGCATAACATAGGTGCCAAGAGCACTGACATCAAGTTCCCCTGATTCAAAGAACTGGATGACTCTGACACAAGTTCCCTAATGAAATACAATTTTCTTCAACTTTTGTTTTACTGATGAGGTCACTGAGGCACTGACAGGTACTGCAGACTGCCCCAGGCGAAGTAATTATCAGAATTTAGAGCTGCACACACTCAAAACTTTTAACTTGGCACAATGCTCCTAGTCTTTAGTAATGTGAATATGTAACTTTCCTAAGAACATTATCATTGCTAATTTTATAAATGAATGTAGTAACTCCCTAAATTGGATTCTTGTAAATAATACTGCATATGCTGACTACATATATATAAATAAAGGAGATGATTTCCAGTCGTAAATAATTTAAAAAAGAAAATCAGAAGAAGGAACAGACCCAC